CATAACAAACCACTGCAAGATTTAATAGGCTGAAATGACAGCAATGTATTTAGCTCACAGTTCTGCGGGTTAGCAACTGGGGCCGAGCTCAGTCAGGCGGCTCTGGGAGGTAGCTGGCTAATACAGTGACAGAGCTGCTAGGGTGGCTGGAGGCTGCTGGCCTAGGATGGCCTCCACTTGGGCGGTTTACCTTTGTCCCTCAGGGTCTCTTATTCTTCAGCAAGCCACTCAGGGCTTGTTCACATGGCACCTGGGAAATCTTGCAAGAGAAGGAGGGGAAACACACAAGCCTTCTCAATGCCTGGGCCCAGAGATGGCACACAGTTAACTTCCTCTGCATCCTGTGGACCAAAGCAAGTTTCAGGCCTCGCTCTCCTGAAGGGGAGGAGAAACGGTCTCCCCCTCCGGATGGGAAGTCCCAGAAGGTGCAGAAGGTATAGTAACAGGGAGAACTGTGGCCATTTGGGCAGTCCTTTTCATTTGGTAAGAAGACAGGAGGTGAGCAAAATTCTCAAGATAACTGAGAGAGAAAAAAAAGTTTGAAAAATCCCCAGTGACTTGGAATGACAGGAACATAAAAGCAAAGGGGCCATCAGGGAAAGCTGGCAAGCACAGCCGTGAGGGACTCGGGCCCAATAAAATCAAAAGATTTTTTAAAGAAGTTTTCACCCTACAAAGCAGCCCCCCAAATACTAAGAAAGGTCAAATATAAACATCCTAGATAAAAGAGTTCTGGGAGTTCATACCAAGTTTGAAAATTTAGGGGAAGTATCCTAAGGAAAGCAGAATGTAAGGTGAACTTTGAAGAACAAAAAATGATTTTGCCACGTAGTTACAGCAGCGAATCAAAAAACAGTGTTAACTGAACTGCAGGAGCAGTAAAACCCAGAGCACATACAACAGCAACTGAGTCTAGGACCGAGCTTCGGAGCTTGCATCCACTGTAACATCCTGAAAGATGACGCTTTTGTGTAACACCCTTTCATATTCGTACCCTGATTATGCCAGGGTTAAGTAAGGCAGAACATGGAGTTATGTATGAATGCCAGCTCTCTGGCTGCACCCCAACCTCTTCCACCCACCAGTCCTTTGTGACATTGAGTCTAATGCAGGCTTTTGTAGGAGAACATGGAAAGATACAGATGAAAAGGTTAGTTACAGGCAGAGCGTGGAGGCGCTCAGATGCCAGGCTAAGGAATTGAAATTTAGTGAAGGCAGTACAAAGTCACTGAACATTTTTGCATAAAACTAACATTTTTGTATAAAACTGCATTTTCCAATCATTTATCTGGCAGAAGTGGATAAAATAAAACAGAGAGAACCTACGATGTTTCTTCCCTGTCCTTGTCTATGTTGAGCACTACTAATCAATACAGTTTTTCCTAAGAAGCTCAAATAGGTCCTTCAGATTCTTCCCAATCAAGTGCTATAGTGGTCAACAGGCAGGCTGAAATTTAATGAGCGAGAGGCAGGCAACAGCTTACGAGGCTGAGACGCCATTTAAAAGAGGAGGCCGTGGAAAGGGGAGAGGAAAATGTGTTGAGAAGTGCTGGTGAAGCCTGTCGGCAGGATTTGGAACTGGCTTAGTGAAAGAGGAGGAGTAGGTCACCAAATGTCACTCTAGTTTTCTGAGGTTGTGAGAGAACTGTCGTGCCCCTAACTAAAACAGTAGTAGTAATTTTTGACTTAGAAAAAGAAAACTTGGGGGAAACACACTGATTGAGAAGGGCAAAAAGAGAATGGCTAAAATTTCAGTGTCAGGAATAAAAACAAGGCCTAAAAGCATCAGAAAAACTGGATGTGGGTGGTGCATGCCTATAATCCCAGTGTTCAGGAGGCTGAGGCAGGAGGATCACCATGAGTTCAAGGCCAGCCTGGGCTACATAGTGAAACACGTCTCAAAAAGAATAAATAAGAATAATTTGAGTCTAGGATTTGTAAAAAAAAAAAAAAATTACAAAAATAAAAATTCACGAATATAACATTTCTATCAAAGATGATCATTTACATGGAAAGTATGGGAAATTTATTTTTTATTTTCCTTAGAAATATTACACTGCTCAAGAGTTCCAGTGCAACTAAACGGAATTATAGGTGAAAGATGATGCAAAAGAGGTTTTTGTGGTTTTGGTTTTGTGTGGTTTTTGGTTGCTTGGTTTTAGTGCTGGGGATTGAGTGGCCCAACTCAGTTTGTGACCATCAAACAAGCACTGGTACCACTGAGCTATGGCTCCAATCCCTGAAAACCTAAAAAGCCTGAAGATGACTCGCGTTGCATGTGAGGACACAGCTCCAGCAGCGGAAGCTGAGGGTCCTGTTTTTCTTTCGACTTTATCTGCATCTGAAGTGCTGACTTATAGGCTTGATTGTGCTATGAAATGCACTGTTTCGCCATGTCTAGCTCAGGATGGTTTTCATGTAATAAACGTGAGCGCCCCTGTTGAGAGGACGAGAGCAGAATTTTAAGCAATCCGCCTCCCAAAAAGGCATCATGGTGTAATGTACAGCTGCTTGAGTAAGGTTCTCCGAGTTTGAGTGTGAGCTCCGCCCTAGTGTGAGGCAGTCACTTACTTTTTCTGTGTGCCCATTCTCACATCTGGGGAAGTGTATCTACCAATGTTGTTGAGAGGGCACATATGATAAGAAACACATCTTAAATGAACTCAGTTACCAAACACAGCTGCTTCCCAATTGCTTCTTTTTAGTGTCAATACTTACCAAGAGCTAATGAATAATTCTTCTTGGACATTATTATAATCCATAGGGAGTTCTCATTTTCTCAGAAGAAAATTCTTTTTGGTAAATGAAGGAAGGCCTGCCGTGAAAGGGATTCTTACCTTCACCAACCTTCTGCCATCTGTACATGATCTTAACCTGAAGCTTATCTGTTATGGACAGCAGTCGTACCTCGTCTAAATGTATGTGAGCCTTGGAAAATGGACTTTGGCAAAAGGCCTTCTCTACTGCAGCTTGACAAAATCTTTTTTCTTTCCTTTTTTCTACTCTCTTTTCTTCTCTTCTTTTTTTCCCCTCCAGGACTGGGATTAGGACCCAAAGCCTTGCACATGCAAAGCATGCACTCTCCGGGAGTGTCAGGGAAAGGGTTAACAGTGGTGCAAGTCAGAGCCCTGCAGGTGTTTGCTGAAATGACCTGGCTGCTGCCTTGCTGTAGAGAAAATGGCTCTTTCCCCTGGCAGAGAAATGCTACACACAGGTGGCCTTAAGTGTGCTGTGCGAGTGTCCTTGCTTTTAGCCAGACCTGAGATACTCTGCTCTAAGGCACACAGGTCTGTAAGAAGCTAACAAACCGGGAACAGTGTTGGTGTGATTTTTCTCTCCACTGCCTGCCAAAGCCTCTGCTTCGTGCAAGATCCTTGTGCAGAGGGCTCCCTTTCCTCCACGGGTGGTAGTGTATTGCTGGGCCATGCTCATATCTGATGTATTTCTATGCTAAACTTACTTTTATTTTATAGCATCATGATGTGGCTCTTCTCTACTGCTGTAGATACAAACCTCGACTTTCTGTGGCCACGTAGGTGTGGCTCCTCGCTGTCACACACAGAAGTAGCTCCCAGCTCCAGCTCGACAAATCCTTGTTTCTACCTCTAGTAACCCAGAACCGCAAAGGAGCTGGCAATGGACAAAAGTACTCTTTACTTCGTCTCCAAAGACTTCCTTATAAATTTCATATTAATACAAAGTCATAAAGATGGAGACACTCTATGTGATTTGATTGGCGGAATGTGCAAGGCTGAGCATTTAGGGAGGTAATACCCAAACCTGGAAAAGAGACCTGGCCAGAACAATCCTCATCCACAAACTCTTAGTGTACTCTTGTTGAGCAAACATTGATCTCTGTGTATCATAATATTCTACTTAATAACAATTTAATAAGCATTTTTAGTAAGGCCATTTTTTCTACTATCTTAAAGTAGTATATTACTTTTTTTTTTTTTTTTTTTTTTTTGTGGTACCAGGGAATCGAACTCACGACCTCGCGCTTGCCAGGCAGGCCCTTATGCCACTGAGCTAAATCCCCAGCCCCAGTATATTACTTTCTTATCAAAGAATATTCTGCAAAAAACAGTGCCACTAAAGTGCTCCTAAAAATGTAGAAACTAGGCTTAAAAGGAATAAGAGGCCTTGGTGTGTAACATTTGCCAGTTTCTATGAGATGAATAGTCCTATCACTGCTGATTTCAAGCAACCAAAGGCTGACACCTCTGAAAGTTAAGTTGGGAAAATCTGTATACAGTTGACTCCAATGAGCCCAAACAAACCACCTTCCACACACCATTACTGTGCAAACCACCTCCTAAGCCATCAAGGAGGAATTGATAAGCACAGAGTCGCTGATCACGCCATGCTAAGCACTGGGGAAACGGAGTAAATCAGGAACTGAGAGTGGATCCTCCAAGCAGTGGCTGTTGGAAGCATATCTAGGTACTATAGGCCACTTCGTGTCACAAATATGTTTCGAGGTTTTCCTTTCTGTCACCTGCTCTTGCCAGATAGGCCCAATCTATAAGGGCAGTTAGACCAATTATATGATATTAAGAACAACAAAATGGTTCCAGATTTTCTGAGGCATTTGGCAGTCTCTTTTCTTGGCCATCTGTATAAAATTCTCCCTCCTGGTCCTGAGTGCCATACCTATACTGCCCTCTTGTGCTGGCAGTGACTGCTACCAAGTGGTCCCCGTCCATTCTCCTCAAATGTTTTCCAGTAGCTGGGGCCAGTCCTAGTAAGGAGAAGCCTCACTGCATCATAGATACAATTGTTTTTTAATCTCACCTTTCTGGAGAAATTGGGGACAGATTTCTTCAGGTTGAATGGGAAGGTAGCTGAGTGACACAAGTTAGAGTTTCAGCCACAGTGTTCCTTGCAGCAGGGAGAATGAGGTGTCAGATTTCCCGTCCTCCAAAAATGACCCCTGGCAGTCAGATCCAGTGACACTAGGTGTTTCTAATTTTGGAACCTCGATGCTGAGGAAGGATAAGCAGGCGCCTCAAAGTTTCCATGAGCATTTTCTCAGAGCTACACATTTCACTCTAGTGCTAGTAAAAACTTCCAGCCCCTGACCTGAGGAAGGTCACGTGACCTTTGTTCCTTGTCTCACTCTCCACATTGCGTTTTCCAGTAAAGATCTGGTATGTTCTCTGCTTCTCACTCCTTGTATCTTAGGAGAAAAGCGGGTATTCTGCTCTGAAGGGAGAAATGAAGAGACTGACGAGTTACCACTCCCGAAAGCCGTGGGAAGGTTCCGATTGGGAAGAACTCTCACATCCTCTCCTGGCATCTCTAACCCCAAAGGTAAGGTTGTCAGATATCATATCGCATCACAGCTATTTTCCTTTGGCAGCAGTGATAGGGACCGACTACGTCTTTGTCCATCCTCCCAGCAAGAAACCAAGTCAGAACAGTGGAAGGACCAGAGAGGGGATGTGGGTATAGCACACTGTAAATTCCAGATATTCAAAAGATGATATTTATGAGAATGATGCCCCCAACAGGGTTTTTTAGATTAATACTAGTTAATGTATTGCATATTGTTATCTTCAAAGCAGATTTCAAGATTCAGACATGAAAAATATGATCAATCAAACAATAAAAGCACCAGCTATTCTTTTTGATGAACTAACAGTGATTAGTAGTATAGCGATCTATCTTGTAAATATATAGATATATATCTATAATATTATATTATATATAGATATATAATATTTTTCCTTTTTTCTTTTCCTTTTTCCCCTCATTTGTACTTTCCTTTCAAGTAATTTCTTTCTTTTTCATTTTCACAGTATCTATTGTATATTTTGGATCTTATTTACTCTTTCAGATTTTTTTACACTAGGAAGACAATATGATGTTTACACATGCAAATCTGATTTATTTCACTTATGAGTATGGCCTCAAATTGCATCCATTTACCTTCAAAAGCCTCAAGTTTGTCCTTTTTTATAGCTGAATAATACTCCATTGTATAATAATATCACATCTTTTTTTATCTATTACATGGTTGATGGGCATTTGAGTTGCTTACAAGATTTAGCTATTATAAATTGTGCTGCTCTAAACATGGGTGCACATATATCACAGTGATAGGACCATTTCAGTTTTTCTGGGAAAATACCCAGGAGGGGAATAGCTGGATTGAACGATACCTCCAACTCTAGTTTTTAAAGGAATCTCCACACTGACTTCATCAGTGGTTGAGCCAGTCTACACACCCACCAACAGTAGAAAAAGGTTCCTTTTCCCCCACAACCTCTCCAGTATTTGTTATTGATTGTTGTCTTGATGTTAGTCGTTCTTTCTGGGGTTAGATAAAATCTCAGTGTTGTTTTAATTTGCATTTCTCAAATGATAAGTGACACTGAACACTTTTTCATGTATTTATTTGCCATTTGTATTTCTTCATCTGAGATGCCCATTTTGGGATTGGGTCTTTGAATTTGGGGGGCCTGATTTTTTTCAATTCTTTGTGTGTTCTACATATAGGTCCTTTGTCTGAGGGACATTTAGCTAAAAATTTTCCTTATTCTGTGGGTTTGCTTTTCACTCAGAACAGGGTTAATTTCTTAACCTATCTATTTCTCATAAGATTTCCCCTCTTCTGTTCTGGAACTTACGCCCAGTGAGTGTGCACTACCCAGAGACAATCCAGCCCGGAGTCCTGTCCTACTCCTCTCTGTCCTCGGCTTCATCCTAGAGGCTGGCACACAGGACTCCACACTAAAACTGAATGACGGAAACTCAAGGAATTTCAAAGAGCCACTAAGTTGCAGACACCTTATTTGAATTTACTTTTGACGCCAATTGCAGCAATCTTTCCCCACAACAGGGTCATACAGGTATGAACGCGTTAGTGAAACAGCTCTCCTCTTCCGAATCCCTTTGCTCAGGAAAACCTGTCTTTTCCATTGCAAATCGTATTTTCAGATCACTGGAGGAGAGCGCTGCACGCGGGCTGCTGCTGGCTGTGGAGAGCCAGACCCAAGCCGCTCTCTGTGAGTCAGCATCGTTGGCGGCCTGCAGGGGGAAAGAACCACAACCTACAGCGGGGAGATTCCCCTTCCCCGGTAATCGTATCATTTTCATTGGTTTTTCTTTTGGGTTGGGATTTATTTTCTTTTGATTTGTTTAGGTTAACTCTGATGGCATGCACAGCTATTTAAAAGAAAGAAAGACATGTTACGGAAGCCATTGTGTATTTACAATCGGCTTGTTTTGAGGTTCTTTATGGCATTCACTTTTTTGTTTTTATTGTTTCTATTCTATTTTGTTCTGTTCCATTTTTAATATATCTGAAGGTGGTATCTGCAGCTAGTTTGAGGATAACAAAGGCACTGTGGTAACTACTGTTGATTTCAAAAAGTTTGGAAGTCCTGTGTCACTTATTCCGGTTAATTTTGATTGATTTTATTGTTTTATTTTCCTTGATATTTTTCCTCTTTAAAATAAAAATCACTAGACAACTGCTAAATACCTCAAATAAATCAACCAGATGATTCACGCCGAAGCTGTGTGGCAGCTGAACAAGGACCCTGAGGCTGAGGAAGGTAAAGGGGGCCAGAAGACCAGGAGCAGATGCCGACGTCGGAGGGCAGAGGGGCTTCCTGTAGGAGAGGGCTCATCTCACTTCAAGGATAGCACACACTACTGACCTTTGCAAGCTTTGTTCATCAAGCTCCTAAAATATTATTTTACATTGCACACTTTTGTGTGTGTGGGTTTTTTTGGTTTTTTTTTGAGACAGGGTCTCACTATGTACTATGTAATGCAGGCCAGCCTTGAACTCGCTTATGAAGGCAGGGTGGCCTCAAACTCATGGCAATCCTCCTGCCTCAGCCTCTAGAGTGATAGGATTATAGGCATGTGCCATAATACCTGAGTGTACTGTACACCTTTTAAAGGTGACATCTAAAATGTATATGCTTCCATAGATGCAAAAATTTTATTTAATTTTCTATAAATTGTATCTACATTTTAAATATGTCTTGGCCAAAACCTTGAATATCAGAACCAACTTATGAATTTAGAGGTAGAGAAAATAGCTGTTATAGAACCTAATTAGTCAAGCCAACTCTATAACCAAATCAGGCTGCCAAATCAGCACACTGTTAGGTAACATCTGACTTCATTTTTTACTTTATGTGAATGGATTTGTATACCTACCCTGTCCCTGCATAACCTTCCTGCTCTTTCCTTGCAATTTTGAGACAGAAAGACAGGACACGGAGCCTTTGGCACAGGCCAGAGACTGGGTCTGCTAATGTTTGCTCATTTCCTGCAGGCTTCTTCTCTAAAGCAATCTGAAAACATCGTTTTGTAGGAGACTTCTGTACATGTGGGGTCAGTGCATCATAGTGAGATTCTGACATTTATTTTCCGAAGCAGAACTCCAAGGAGCAAGGGGGCATTTGGAGAGGAGTGCAAATGGAAGCTGAGGGTCCTGACCTTGATCCCCAAGATGCCCACGACTCCCCGTTCCTCTGAAGTCTCCACTCCAGCAGCTCCGTCTTCACCGCTGTGTAGGAGGCCTTCAGACTCTGCCCTTGATTCCCAGTTGCCCACTTGCTAAGACTCAGTGTCTTAGCACTGAGACACTAAGTGCTTGGAGAAATGGCCTCGTTGACTGCTGTTGGGCCCCAGGATGCTGTTCGTTTGTTTGTTCATCAGTGCTCAGCCTTCAGAGCCCGGTCCCAAATTCCTTGCTCTCACCCCTTTTTCATCACCTTAGAAAGCTTTCCTCACTTTGTGGAAAGTGATTTAAAGAGATATTAAGCTAGTTCTTAAGAAAATGTCCATCACTTGCCACCTGCCCAAATTTTGAGTTAGCATTTCCACTTTTCCCAGAGAAACTTAGTTACCAAAGGAGTCTCTCATTAGCTGAAAATTCTGGCTAATCGAAGAGAATTTATAGGTACTGAAAAGGAAATATTTTTGGGTGATTCCAGACATTTTAATAAGAATTTCAACCACTGTGTTCAGAAACAGTAACCTTTTAAGTAGAGTCTAAGCCTGACAAGCAATATCCTATCACTTAAATCTACCAAGGGTGCTAACTAGGAAAAAGTCATCAGTGTCCTACAGTCAGTTGGTGGCAGATACTGCAGTGCAAAAGGATCCAGGAAACTTTTATTGAAGACCCCATATCCTTGGAAACTCCTTTGAACCTAAACCATTGGGAGTATTTTGAGTCTGAGTCTCTGACATCTTTAAGTAGCAAAATAAAAGCCAGGGATGGTGGTACATGCTTTTAATCCCAGCTACCTGAGAGGCTGAGTCAGGAGGACATCCAAAGTGATGGGAAGACCTAAAGGAGCCCGTCTAAGATGCTCCTTTAAACAAGCGGGATTCTGAAGGTTATTTCAGGTCATACCGTGTATATGCAAGAAGAAAGTTGTCAGGTTGTAAAAAAGAGAAAAGGCTACATCCAAAGTGACGCTCCTCTCACACAGCCATATGGTAAATTTGGAGAAGTTAGCTCTCTACATCTAAGGATTTGAATCTTGCTTTCCAAAATGGGATAGAAAAGTGGATTTCTGCCACTTGGCTTCAGCAGTTCAATAAATAACTCTTTAATCCAAATGTCTACCTTTGACTGCAGATATAAAGGTTTACAGAAAGAAAGACAAAAAATGTCTTTTGAATTCTACTGTAACAATGACATTGAAATGACCTAACCGTAGACCACAGAAATTCAGATAGAATTTTTAAAAATCTGCCCTTGCAATGTGAAGCATACATAATGAAATATCTGCTTCCCTGCACCCCTACTACTTATTTTCTCCATAAAAAACAGCAATCTAATAAACATCTGTTCTCTTTCATTGTCCAAGGGATCTTGTTCACTAATGTAAACAACCATTGCTTTGTTCTCTCGGGAGAAAACAAAACACGATCAATCAAAGCAGAGCTACATACCCAGACCTGCTGCGGCAGCTGCCTGTTCCTCTGCAAGCCAGAGCTCCGGACGCTTCTGAATCCTCTGCCCTCACTGCTCTGAGCAGAGCTGCAGGTTAACTCTGGGAGGCTGGATGCTCCAACCGGCAAAGCCAAGGCTCACCAACTTAACCACTTGCCTGCTGACTCATGCGGCAGAGCAGCGGGAAGAACACCTCCTGCTGTGCCTGCTGAGATATGAACTCTTGCACCATCCTTAGAAGGTCACATCTGAAGTCTGTCATTTTGCACCCTGCACAAACACAACCTGGAGAGCAGCTACGCATTTTCTCAGAGTGACTGCCTCATCCTCTTTGATTTGAAAAAATATTCAGTTCTTTCCATATCATATCAACTTCACATCACGAGAGGCTACTTTACAGTACAAATCAGTGCAGAATATTTTAGATACATGAGTCAAGCTCTAGGAAAGAAGATACTCCCTTACTTTTCTAGATTCTGGAGATTTTTAGAGAGATTGTGTGACATAGGGGAAATTAATTGCATGTCACCACCTTGGTAGTTTGCAAAAGCAAGCAAAACGGTGTTTAAATTTTCTCTGGTGTGCTTTTGAGGGAAAACCAAAAATTCACTTTCTGCAGTACTGCCGTATTCTAATCTGCATGGAAGTTACTCGGGATCCCAAGGGAAAATGTTGGGAGCCGTGGCACTGTCAAGTCATCAGACGCGGTGATTGCGAGGCCTGTAGGAAAGTACAAAAGCCTGAGCTAGATTACCCCTGTCATCGAGCCTGCCTGTGTGGCGTCTGTTTCCTGCTTCCTGATCCCTATCACCCCACTAAGTTCCCGCCTCACAGGGTAGTCTGCCTAGCTACTAATGTTGCTAGCCAATCAGCTTACGCGACCCGCCTTGATTTGATTGGAGGCCACAATCCTATATATAGCCAGTACCTCCACCCCTGGGGAGAGAAGCACGGAAGGAGCCGCGGAGAGCAGACCGGTAGAGGCTTCGGGGCAGACTGTATAAGGAGAGAATAAAGAAAAGCCTGACCACCGCCAGACCTTGTCGTGTGTCTTTCCTGCCGGCCGGGAGCGACACCGACAGGAAAAGTTCATTTTTCTAATCCTTATAGACTCTAATTCATAGATATTGTTATGAGGTGATATCAGAACCTCCAAATATGATATAAGGGAAATTTAGCTCCCAACCTGTTAGATGTCTTATATGCCGAGTTCATATTTTCTGAAAATCAAAAAATGAACTCTAGGGACAGTGGAGTTTAAGAGAGAAAATATTCATTGAGAGATAGAAAGGTCCTGCCAGAAGAACAGGAAGGGTCCCAAATGGGTAGCCCAAGGACCCAACTTGCAGGGAAATTTTATAGAGCAATATCCATGTGGGTACAATGTGGATTACAGCCACAATTAACCAGTAAAGATACAAGAAGAGTTGCGTAGGTAATAGTGGCCCAGTGGGGAAAGAAATCATGTAATGAGAGTGCATGGAAAGAACAAAGACTTTTCTTTGAAATGTCTGGGTCCAAAGAACAAAATGATGGGTCTAGAGGTCTTGGTCACCCACCAAGGTGACTGATGTCTATCTAGGCTTCATTAGGCCTGGTATTTGTCCTTGGAGAAAGTACATAGGCCTGGTCCTCTCATCTGTATCTTGAGGTTAGTCTCCAACAGATGTATCGCGGGCCATAGTTGAGATGTTTCACCTTGTCTTGGACCTCGCCCTATTTGATTGCCTATAATATTTCTGCCCAACTTGGCTGTCTATAAAAGTATCAAACGCAGGCAAAAGAAGATAGCAAACAAAGGTTGGAGCGTTTGATCAGGTATTTAGACTTCCCTTTACCTTAACCGTGTCATCATGCACAAAGCTCTGAAGCTTAGGATTCCTGAAGAAAAGTTGCACAGTGTTTTCAGTTATTGGTGGATCATTTTGAACACCAAATTAAGGGGCAAAAGCTTAAAACTAGGGCAAGTCTCTGTTTTTCTTCAGGCCAAAAGGAAGTCCTGTGTGGGCATCACAAGAAAGAAGACAGACGCAAAAGCAGGCATGTGTAGCACACCTGTAACCCAGCACCCTGAGAGGCTGAGGCAAGGACTGACTATAAACATAAACTGGGCCTAAAAAATTAGCAATTTAGTGACACTCAAAATAAAGCATTGAAATTTTTTAAAAAATAAATCTCAGGGTGTTGCTCAGTGCAAAGGCCCTGGGTTTAATACTCAGTACTGATGAAAAAAAACAAAAAATAAATAATAAATTAAAAAAGCTATTAAAGCAAGTATGAAGTAGACATACAGATCCTTGAGAACTGAGACTGGGGACTTACTATACAAGTTCTCTTTGCTCTGCTGACTGCAGCTACAGGGCTGCGTGCTGGGGTTATTAGCTGCTAGTTAGACTTGCAGGCTCTGGGACTTTTTTTGCCCAAAGTATATCTATCTTAGGGGCCCTGATGCGCTGGGGAAAAAAAAAAATCCATCTGTATATGGAACAATACATATATGATTGTACTGGTCCTAACAATAGCAATAGCTACTATGTTAAATGCTTGCATATAGCAGCAAATCTACTGGAGGCTTAACGTATATTAAATTGCAAGAATTCTAGCTCTTCAATAAAATTTTTTTTTATTTAAAGAGAAAAAAAGAAAGGAAATAACATAAAAAAGCAGTAAAAGGGTACAAATAATACAGAATTTCAAGGAAAAAAATACAGTGAGATATCACTAGTTAATAGGTTACATATTGTCATCTTTGAAATAGTTGTCCAAATTATAAAATTAAAGCATGTAAAGTGAACATTGATACGAGATTGCAGACAGTGCCGATCAATGATCCAACAAAAGTTCAGTAATACGGATTTCCATCCTACACACTCAAACATACATGCAGTTATATTCCTTAGACCACCTTCCTTTCCTCTCTTTTTAATAACAAGTACACTTTTTGGGTCTTTTTACTCCCACAATTCTTATTATATTTTTGGAGAGAATAAAACCTAATGTAGCTAAACAAAACAGAGTCAGTCAGAACATAAGGATGGGCATAGTACATGATGTAAAAATAGATATCAGGTGATCTAAAATGGTTACCATTGTGCCTCTTGCTATTTTTTTAAAAAGTTGCCTATATCGTCAGGTATAATAGAATTGATCAAAACAGTACAAAACAAGACCAATAAAACCTACATTGGAGACCTTACAGGGTTTCAAAAGAAGATAGTAGTCAAACCATAATGGGCATCTTAGTGAATCTTATTGCCTTCAAAGTGGTTGCCTATACCCTCAAACTTGATACTATCAAACAAAGTAGAATATAGTAAAATCTGACAGAACAAGATGGGGAGAGCAATACTGGGGATCATATCAGGCTAATAGGAAAACAAAAAAGTTACTATAATATATCCTGCTATTTTTTAATTTAGTTTTTCCTTAATTGAAAAAAAATGTAAGAAAAAAATAGATTAATTTTAAAAAAGGGTGGGATTGAGGTAAAAGAGGACATTGTATTAGAACAACACAGGTCAGAACCGAACAATTTAAGCATCATTGTGTTTCACCCCCAGATAATCTAACATAATAGTAGTCACCATAGTGCCTCCTTCCTTGAATTATTTGAGTATAACTTCATATACTATAGCATCAAGCATATCAAGTCAGTCTGAAGCTATTCAAGAGAATAAAGAAATTACAGGGTATTTAGAACCAGTTAACAGAAAACGAACAATGGTTGAGGACCTCTATGTTATCTCTTTGCCTATAAAAATTTTTGTTTATATTATCACATATAGTAAAATATAGTAAGATACCACATGTTAAAACCAGTGGAAACAGGTGTACAACAGCTTGATGGGACTTCAAAACAAGATGATATTAAATCAGCACTAGCTTTTATGATGTGTTGTTTTCTTCAGAATAGCTATTCGTACTATCACCAATACTAAAATCGAACAACCCAGGTTAAAACCATTGCAATTAATGAGTGATAACATTATATGGATTCAAACCAATATGATTGGGAATCATGATTACCACATACTTTTATGTATTCTTATCATTTCTTACACTAGGGAAACTATTCGGTATTTATACATGTGAGTTTGATTTATTTCACTTATGAGTATGATCTCAAGCTGCGTCCATTTATTTATAAATATCTCAATGTGATCATTCTTTATAGCTGAGTAGTACTCCACTGTATAAAAATACAACTTTTTTATCCATTCCTCTGTTGATGGACACTTAGGTTGTTTCCAAGATCTGGCTATTACAAATTGTGCTGCTATGAACATGGGTGCACATATATCACTGTGGTATGATGCCTTCAGTTCTTCTGGGAATATACCTAGAAGTGGAATAGCTGGGTCAAATGGGGCTTCCAGTCCCAGCTTTTTGAGAAGTCTCCAGACTGACCTCCACAATGGTTGTACCAGTCTAATAAAATGTATGTTTCCTTTTCCTTCCTGGCCTCCCTGCAGTCAGAGTAGCTATGTGACTGAACTCTCTCTCTCTCTCTCTCTCTCTCTCTCTCTCTCTCTTTTTTTTTTTTTTTTTTTTTTTGGTACTAAGGATCAAACTCACAACCTTGCACTTGCCAGGTAGGCACTTAGGCTACTGAGCTAAATCCCTGGCCCACTGTGGCCGAACTCTTAACAGTGAACTGTGAGCAAAAGGGATATGCGCCAGTTCCATTCTCGTCCCACAAAACCATCCCGCTGTGTGATCTTCCCAGCTCCAGGCAGAGACTGGAGGTACAGTTCCACAATAATCTTGGAGGCTATAGGAGGAAAAAAGGAGAAAAACCAATCAAAAGGAAAGACCACATAGAGGAGAGTTGCTGGTCTTTGCAACTATTTTTAGATCATGGAAGTGGGAGTTGGATGACAACCCAAAAATACATTTAAAAAATATGTTAGAGATATGTAACTATGACAATATGAAGACCTCTTGCCTTACAGAACAAAGGCTGAACTCCTTAACCAGCTATTTATCCTGGGCTCTTGCATGATTTTTGTCTCTGTCACTTTGCATGGTCCCTGGTGGTGCTATGTGACTTTTGAAGTATGACCTAAGGCCTGTGGTTTCCATTTGTCCTGGGAGACTAGCTCTTGGAGCCCTGAATCACTTTGTAAGAAGTATAAAAAACTCAAAGCTGCCACATCAGATGAACCACATACAGGTGCTTTGGTAATTTTTCAACTAAATACCTCCTTCCACCACCCATGCCTACTAACGCAGCAGAAATGCAAATGAAGCCATTTTAGACCTTAAAAGCCCACCCACCAGCTCAATACAAGCAGAACCCATAAGTGCCACATAGAACAAAAGTCATCCAGGCAAGTTCTGCTCAAATTCCTGACCTACAAAGCCGTGAGTGGTAATAAAATGGTTATTGACTCAAGCTGCTAAGCTTGAGGTAGGTTGTTACAAAGCAAGAGAT